GTTTGAAGCCATTGTTCCGCGTCCTAGTCTCCAAGGAAGCAGAAAACAAGCTTGCTCCCTCCTCCCTGTGGCTTCCTCTCACATATTTATACATGGCTATCATATCTCCTCTCAGCCGTCTCTTCTTCAGGCTAAACATGCCCAGCTCCTTAAGCCGCTCCTCATAGGGCTTGTTCTCCAGACCCTTGATCATTTTAGTCGCCCTCCTCTGGACACATTCCAGCTTGTCAATATCTCTCTTGAATTGTGGTGCCCAGAATTGGACACAATATTCCAGATGTGGTCTAACCAAAGCAGAATAGGGGGGTAGCATTACTTCCTTAGATCTAGACACTATGCTCCTATTGATGCAGGCCAAAATCCCATTGGCTTTTTTTGCCGCCACATCACATTGTTTGCTCATGTTTAACTTGTTGTCCACGAGGACTCCAAGATCTTTTTCACACGTACTGCTCTCGAGCCAGGCGTCACCCATCTGTATCTTTGCATTTCGTTTTTCCTGCCAAAGTGGAGTATCTTGCATTAATCACTGTTGAACTTCATTTTGTTAGTTTTGGACCATCTCTCTAATCTGTCAAGATCATTTTGAATCCTGCTCCTGTCCTCTGGAGTATTGGCTATCCCTCCCAATTTGGTGTCGTCTGCAAACTTGATGATCATGCCTTCTAACCCTTCATCTAAGTCATTAATAAAGATGTTGAACAGGACCGGGCCCAGGACGGAACCCTGCGGCACTCCACTCGTCACTTCTTTCCAGGATGAAGAGGAAGCATTGGTGAGCACCCTCTGTGTTTTCAACCAATTACAGATCCACCTCACCGTAGTTTTGCCTAGCCCACATTGGACTAGTTTCCTTGCCAGAAGGTCATGGGGGACCTTGTCGAAGGCCTTACTGAAATCCAGGTATGCCACATCCACGGCATTCCCCGCATCTACCCAGCTTGTAGCTCTATCGAAGAAAGAGATCAGATTAGTCTGGCATGACTTGTTTTTGATAAATCCATGTTGACTATTAGCGATGACTGCATTTGTTTCTAAGTGTTTGCAGACCGCTTCCTTAACAATCTTTTCCAGAATCTTGCCCGGTATCGACGTGAGGCTGACCGGACGGTAGTTGTTTGGGTCATCCTTTTTTCCCTTCTTGAAGATTGGGACCATATCTTGAAGATTGGGACCATATCTTCTTACCTAGGCCTATTGTCCAGATTGGAGAGTCAACATTCTTGTACTTATGAATTGAGGTCTTAATGTACTAATTCACCAAGGAATTGAAATAATTATGAATAAATTGAACTGTGAAATGTCATCTTCATTTCTTCAAGTAACACAACAAAATTAACAAAGACTTTTTGTTGCATGGAAACATTAAAAATGGTCATGATTTCATATTTGAAATAAAATAGAATATCTCAAGAAGACACCATACTGCTGCAATATGTACTGGTATGGCAACCTTCCTTACTGCATGCTTATAAAATGATGTAACTGTGCTAGTTCACTGCTTCATGGTGAAGTAAGTTTAAATTCTTTTCAAGGACCTTTGAAGTTTTGTGAAGTTTTTGGGGGAGCAAAACAAAAAATAATTTTTAAAATATCCTTTATGTTGAGAAGAATGGGGTAGATCTGGAGAGCACCCAGACCTCATGCCAGATAAATTTTAGGGATGTGGCACAATCAAGGCCTATTGGTTAGTTTTGCCTGTCACTAACTTCTAATCAAGGTGAAAAAAGAAAGTGCAAAAGCTAGGTTGCAGTTAAACATCAATAAAACCAAGATTATGGCAACAAGAATGATTGATATAATAACTCCTTTAAGGCTGTCTGGGCAGGGGGTCAAACAAATCCCACCACTGCCACCAAATTATAATAACTGGGCAGATGGCAATACGATCAATCTCACCATCTGACACCAATTATAAAGGCAGGCTTTATGGCCAAACAATATGACTGGACAGGGGGCAAACAGATCCCACAAACTGTCCTTCCTTTGATAAAGAATACACTGGCACCTAGATAACACTTGAGGGGATGTCTCTTTATTTAAACCTTCGCTGCCACCATAAGTATAAATGAACAGGAACCCTCTAGCTATTTGAAATATTAAAATGCTTTTTAAGACCACCAAACACTGTGTTTTATTTTCTTCTTTAAAGGAAGCAGGTGAGGTTGAATGAAAAGAACTATAGCCACAAAGGCACACTGGACTCAGGCTTTTAAGTTTCAAAAATAACAAGGAAAGTTTATTGAGTATTGTACAGAAGAAAGCGAATGCAGTTTAATAGGCTTGGCTGTTACAGTTAAAATGTTCTTGTTCTTAAAAACGTAACGGTTGCATGAGAGAATGGTTCTTTCTTGGTTACAGTTCCTATTACAAAACCCAGCTATTTTTCCCTAAAATAGCTGTAACCAGTTTGCCACAGCTTATTTCACTGTGCAAACTTCAGGCAAACTGCCTATTCTAATCACGAACTCCTAATAGCTTCTGTCACCCTGCTCTAACTCTAACATCAACCAGAACTGAACTGAACTGACTAAAAAGAAGCTTCTTACTTTCCCTCCAACAGTCCAACTCCGCCCCCCTTTAACAAACCAATCCTGGCTGTTGCTGGGCTGGCTCAGGCCTAGGCCACTCCCCCTCTCTGAACTGGAGCTTTCCCTAAACTAAGATGGCTCCAGCAGCTCTCTGCCAGGCCTTCTAAGCAAAACTACCTAGCCTGTCTCTTCCTGGGCCCTGCCACCCTGGCTGGCAAGGTAAGGGATCTTCACACACAAGAATGATTGATAACTGGGAAATAGAGGGAGAAAACGTGGAGGCAGTGACAGACTTTGTATTTCTAGGTGCAAAGATTACTGCAGACACAGACTGCAGCAACTGCAGACACTTATTTCTTGGGAGGAGAGCAATGACCAATCTTGATACAATAGTGAAGAGTAGAGACATCACACTGGCAACAAAGACCCATAGTTAAAGCAATGGTATTCCCTGTAGTAACCTACGGATGTGAGAGCTGGACCATAGGGAAGGCTGAGCGAAGGAAGATAGATGCTTTTGAACTGTGGTGTTGGAGGAAAGTTCTAAGAGTGCCTTGAACCACGAGAAGATCCAACCAGTCCATACTTCAGGAAATAAAGCCTGACTGCTCATTGGAGGGAAGGATAGTTAGAGGCCAAGATGAAGTACTTTGGCCACATCATGAGGAGACAGGAAAGCTTAGAGAAGACAATGATGCTGGGCAAAATGGAAGGAAAAAGGAAGAGGGGCTGGCCAAGGGCAAGATGGATGGTATCCTTGAAGTGACTGGATTGGCCTTGAAGGAGCTAGGGGTGGTGACGGCCGACAGGGAGCTCTGGCGTAGATTGGTCCATAAAGTCACGAAGAGTCAGAAACAACTGAATGAATGAACAACAACAGCTGGGGTAGTTTTATAGTGAGTGGTAGTGGACCAACAATGGGTATTGCATTGTAATGATTTCAGTTAGGACAGGTTAAGAGGATCTGTGTCTGGTGAGTCAAGGACACCCCCCTCCCCCCGCCCTGGCCTGTTATTTGCCCAGGTGGGTTTTCATGAATTCAAACTGTGGTCTCTAGAATTATAGTCAAACATTCAAAGCACATCACACTGGCTTTTTAGCATGTTACTTCATCTAATTGCCTCAGTGCTCATTCCTTTAGATTGAAATCACTTATACAGAGTGGCTTGAAAGTGGATTTTTATTTTACTTGAAACAAACCTTTAAAACAGAGATCTGCACAATATAACAGTGGACAGCCATGGAGTCTCCTTCCCACATCAACCCAGATTTGTATTGTTCACTGTGATACATCGGTGCATATCCTGCACTAAGGAACTCATCATATGGAAGTTTTCCTCCATTTCTATACACTTCAAAGGCAGAATCCCTTTAAGCCCATTCAATGACACAGGACCACTTCCAGTGGTTGCTCATACAGGGCCACTTCTGGCGGGATTCCATGGGGCTCTGTGCTGGCAGTGAAGAGAAATTGAGCCCAGAGGAGTCGGATGTATCCAAGGGAAAAAAAAACCTCTCAGGATTTTATTTTTTCTTCTTCCTGAAGACCCTTATACAAAAAAGGCAAAGGCAGAGGAGCCAAAGAAAACTGCAGGAAAAAGTCATGGGAAGGGATGGCATGGGCCCCAAATGTATGGAACACCACCAGACAATTCCCTAAGCTGCTCCATGATTTCCCCTGCTGTTCTCCACTTTACAAAGGCCACCTGATGAGGTCCTTAGCTTAGGACATACATTGTCTTGCACTGGATGATGGAAGTGCAAGTTCTACATTCTACATGGTCTTACACTTGTGTGTACCAATAGTTTTAATTGAAAGAGATAAAAATAGACAAGTAAAGCTTAGTCTTGGTCAACCTTATAAGGTCAGTGGTGCCTATCTCCTCACCCAACCCACCAGAAAAAGTAATAGAAAAACATTCCCTGGGAAATTAAAAAAATCAATACTTTTATTTTACTCAAAATCATTATGCATTTTCCCGTAATGGATCCCCAGGAGAAAAATAATGAATAGAGTCAGTGTACATTACTATAATGCTGGCAAATCTGGTCAATACCAGTACAATGAATCAAGTATAGAAATAAATGATAATCTGGGGCATTCGTTCATGTCTGTTGCTATACCTTCTCTAAGGCACACATAAAATTGTACATTTTGCACTAGCTAGAGCTTTCAAACATTTTCAAAGTTTTTCCCTCATAGAGCACACATTGCAGACTTTATGAACAACTTCAGCTACAACTACTCAATCAAGAAAAGTCACAATACTTGTAGAGGTTTGATAAAACACTTTTTAAAAGTCTGTAGACTTAAATAATGATTAGACTTCTGTTGACGATGCCAGTTCTTTAAAATGTTAAAGGCATGCCTGCCTATGAATGGGAAGCTTATAATACAGGGAGGAGGAGATTCCTGATGGACTAATTTACACCCCGCAAATTCCAGGACATATAAAAATTGCACAGCAGCTCTACTAGTGGGAAAAGCAACAGTGACTTGTCTTAGGAGACATTCACTAGGAACAACCTCAAGACTGAGCTAATTCATCATGTTTTGTGATATAACATAGCCCTGCCTTCTGTGTAATCCATTGGGCAACAGCTCCTGTGTTCCTTGCACAGATCTCTCTCCTCATTCAGTGCCGCTGAGCTGTTTCTAAGAAGAAAATCCAATTTAGAAAAATACTCATGAAGAAGACCTGGGAAGAAAAAGCAGCATGAAAAAATTACAAGGAAAATGCAAATAGCAGGCAAGCATTAGCTCCATGATACAAGCATCAGTCTCCCAACTGTATTTTGTATCTATTTGGAGATTTATTATCTGAAAAGCAGAGCCTTATTCCAGCCAAAAAAGAAAGAAAGGCATTGCTTGAAGTCTCTAGAGCTACTTTAGTGGGACAAGAACATTGCTTTTAGCCAGAGGAGCAGTGGTAGCTCTGATTCTAAAACACATGGAGCTTAAAAAGTGCATTTTTGTGAGCAATAGTAGTGAAAATGTTGAGCATCTTCCAGTCCAACTGCATTGCTGACATTTAAACGGAATGGAAAACTTACCTAAGAAGAGACTGACAACTCTGCCGTCATTCTGCTGAGGCTGGTTGACGCGGATTTAAGTATGTCTGGTACTCCGTTTTCTCTTTCTTTTTCAGGTGGTGGTTTTCTTGCAATTTATGAAATAGGTGTAATCCAGGGTTTATTGGAACAAGCACCAGAAATTTTGAGATCTGCACCAAAGGTATATGGAGCATCGTCTGGATCAATCATAGCTGCAGCTGTGGTATGTGGACTCAGTATCGGTAAGCAATCTAGATTTGGATTATTCTTGATGCTTATATATATATATATATATATATATATATATATATTAACAGAGAATGCATTGTGAAATTTAATGGTGGGGGTTGTTTATTGCAGCGATGTTACTTTCACAAATCTGGTCCTCAGACTTTCATTCTCCTGTTAGTTTTGCACAGAAAGCTAATGCTCACTTTTATGAGATGATAATAGTAGCTCCATTTCCAACTAACATCAAAAACTTTATCAACATGTCAATTCATCAGCATTTAAATATGGAAAGTTGTTGGCAGTGCAATGATATGTTAGACCAATGGATATCTGTGCATGTTTCAAACGCAATATCTTCCATGAGGGGAAAGGACTCCAGTTTTTTAGATACCTACACAAGAAAAGTCTTGTGATCACAAATTGTAAGGAAATTTAACTCATAATTTTTGGGAATTAATTTGATCCAGGAACATCTTTTCTTGCTAACTTTATGGTACTGGTCTCTTTATCTATCCAAATGCAACAGGAAGAAAACAATAAGTAGAATATGACTGTGCAAATTAAATTTTTGGAGCACATCTATTTAACTGCATGGATGACAATGAAAATAATTTCATGCATTTCAGTATGTAGCCAGTATGTCTGGCTACATACGGACCCACCCTTTATATCTGTTGATTGAAAAAAAAGGTTTGGCATGCAGCCCTCATATGGCTCACTGCCCATTTCTATGGTCCCTGCCCCAACCCTTGCTGCCACTGAAATTGACCATGTAGTTGTAATGCTTATAACCAATTTCTGCTTATTTCCACTGACAATTTGGCTGCTTAGAAGCACTAGTATTCTTTTAAACAGGACACATGTCACTCATATATGTCACTTTAAAAATGTGTATAGGTTGGAGGCACCTAAAATGGATCTCTGGTCACAGTTGGCCCTCTGCACCAATTGATCCTGTATCCATGGATTCAATTATCCATGATGTGAAAATATTCCCATCCAAAGAAAATGCCCAAAAATAAAGCTCGATTTTGCCATTTTATATAAGGGACAATATATATGCTTAAATTCCATTATATACATTTCTATATATATATCAATGTATATAATGGAATTTAAGCATCCATGTTATACCTAGAGGTTCTTGGAACAAAAACCCCAGCAGATACCAAAGGCCCATTGCATTGTCATTGTCAGCTTTCAGTAAGTCACAGGAACCAGAGTATGTGCTCAGTCCCTGCCCCTGTCAGTTTCAGAGTGGAGCAATTGCTCCTTGGACCTACAGTTTTCCCATCCTGGTTTACACTGGTGTTCTGGCCACCACAATCCACCAGATCTCTGGGATCTGGAAGAGCTGTGATGGTCCTGCCAGTTTCTGCAGCTGGGGTTGTTTGGGAATGCCCTACATTGTTTAGTTCAGTAGACAGCTTGCACCCGACGGAGAAGCCTGTCCTCCTGATCCCATTTAAATTAATAACAAAATCCTTCATGTGTTTGAGTGGGAGCAAAAGGAGCAAGCCTTTCCCCACCAGGCTTGTTAAAAACATCCATATAAAAATAGCATCAGAGTGTGTAATGAGAAGAAGAAAAGGGAAAACATTACAGGTTACTATTGGTGATTTCAAAAGGCATAATGCTGCTATTTCATCTTTTCCATTACTTTAAAATATATTATTGTGGAAATTAGAAAAAGAAAACAAAAAGGTATGATTTGAACCTTTCCCTTAAAACTGTGAAAAAATGAGAATATGTAATGAAAACTTTATCTAAAATCACCTCTGCTGTTTTTCTTGCCCTAAATGTGTGTGGTTGTTTTAATAGTATTATGTTTATGTTTTTATAATGGTTATTTTATATGATTTTGTGTTGGTAATTCAATGCTTTGCCTATGTTGGAAACCGCTCTGAGTCCCTTTGGGGAAATAGAACTGAAGACAAATAAAGATATTATTATTGTTATTATTATTATTATCATCATAACTATTTCAAAAGTTCCTGTCCTATTGGTGTTGATAATTGAAAAGTTGAGAGTTTTTTTTTCTTAAAAAGGAATAATGTCATCAGTTTTAGTTCTGTATCTCTTTAGTTGCATCTTAAGTACATTTACTTCCCAGTAAGCCCCTTGGAATTTATGAGATTCATCTTTGAATAAATAATTCTTGGACTCTCCATGTCAACATGGGTGAGCTTATAACTGGAAACTGTCTGTACATTCTGTTCCAGAGTTAGTTGTCCCATTTGACTGATATTCTATTATGATTTAGGGGTTCAAGATCCTCTTACTAATGTGGGCTCCAAGCCACAAGGAGTTCAATGTCTCCATAGTTTATACTTGAAAAGATTAAGAAGTCAGAATTTGCCTTTCTGAACATATTTCAGTAATTCATGTTTAGCCAAATCATGGCCTTATTTGCACTAGCTCAGCACTTTCCCTTACTTCAACTCAAACATATATATCAGCCCTAATTCCAAGAGGTCCAGTATCTTCAGGACACTGTGATATTTCTGACCTATCTAATCTGTCTGCCTGCCGACTTGTCTGCCTGTCCCTTGTTTCTAGACCAGGCTCCTTGGGTTACCTTAGTCTTCAACCTGTCGAAGTAATGCATGAGTTTCTACATGACAGTTCATTTGATACTGACAACATTAATCATATGTATAATCACATGACATATTCAACTTTATGTCTCCTTTCCCAAAAGTAGGGGGGGGGGGGGGYGTCAGACCAAATATTTAACAAATGATGTTTACCCCAGTATGGAGATAAGCTAATACTAAACATTTAATGATTGTTTATCTATAAAAGCTGGATCCAATTGTTGTTTAGATCTGGTGCTGAAACTGAAACAGTTTCTGCCCATTTATAGAAATAAATTAGCGTGATGGTGACACATGAAATAAATAGCACCCATGACCTTATTCACTGCTATATGGGAAGCAATATTCTTTGGATAACTCAAGTGGTTGTCTTCAGATTTACAAGATTCTTAATTTCCTGCCAGAATACGTATGACCATTCTTTATTCATAAACTTTTCTGGCCTCTGCCAACCCGATATTCTCCTAATACATTGGATCACAATTTCCAGAATCCCAGTCAGGATAAATCCCCAGGGGATGCAGTGAGTTGCAGGCTATCATATATGGAGGACACCAATTCAGGCAAGAGTATATTCTGTTCTTTGGGCGTAGTGGCCAAATATGCATTCCACTTCAATTTGTTGCAGTATTACGCTTTGAATTTGGCTCTTCTCCCATGGTTGCTCATTTACTATAACACAAAAGCTTAATACATTTTTTTAGCCACCAGTATGTTGGTCATGATGCAGTTAGATAAGCCACGAGTAAGAGAATCTGGAGTAGCAATTTAGGAAGTCTAAGAAAAATGTGAAGAATGTTGATGATGGGCCGCATTTCAAAAATTTCCTGTGTATCCAATTTTTGTGTGTTTGCTTATTTTGACTGTTTTTCATATATTGTTGTGGATAACTTTGCCCCCACCCACACAACTCTAGGATAATCTTGGACCACCCTATTTCATTGTTTCCTGACAAATTAAAAATCCTTATTAGTGTAGATATCTATAATTTCATATTAGGTAGTTCTAACAATCTTGATTTGCATGTCCTCATGGCTTGATCTTTTTCCTCTCTTCTTGGACAGATGATGTTAAAAAGTGCTTATTTGGAGCTGCAAGAGATGCCCGGAAAACCATTCTTGGTCCTTTTGCCCCTGGCTGCAGCGTCCTACGGATCCTACAAAGGAGGCTGCACCAAATTCTGCCAGAGAACTCACACCGGATGGCCACGGGGAGGCTTTATATTTCTCTCACACGTTTAATAGATGGGAAGAATGTTGTGGTTTCAGAGTACAATTCCAAGGAAGAACTTATTCAGGTGACAACATTCCCCCTTCTTTTTGTTTATGTTTCTATTTCCAAATCATTTATGTGAAAACTAAAGCAAAGTGCAGATTCAGCTGCGTAATATTATTTCTGGTGATATAATTTCACAAATAACCATCAAGGAAATAAGCATCAGCAATAATAAAGAATATAACAAAGTTTGTGTCCATGGATTTATGTCACCTATTGATTTATGAGATGACTCCATGAATTTCATAGGGTTTACTAAAGCAAGGAATATTCAGAGATGGTTTTTCCAGTTCCTTCCTCTGATGTGTAGTTTCCCATTCAAATACTAACCATGACTGACCCTGCTTTACTCCCATGATCAGACACAATCTGGTGCCATAACCTATAAAACCATCTGGGCTTTGGAACTAGTGGATCATTTATTCCTTTACTTTCCCCACTTTAGGATTTCTTTCTTAAATATGCAATCATTAAAACAATGAAATTGATCAAATTAATATATGAAATCAAAATAGCTCGAAGTGCGTTATGAATAGCATATTTCGAATAGCATATAATTCATAGACTATAACTCATTTAAACAGAAGGATGGATAAAGCACTATCTTGAGTTACAGTATACATCACATGACCTGGGAGAAGATGATAAATAGTAAAGTCAGAGTGAAATTATATGCAGAAAGTACTGGTGTTATTATTAGCACAAGCTATTCACATAACAGTTGCTGATAAGATCAACATCCTGTCCTAAGGCAGAGGTTGTTGTTGTTGTTATTGCCTAAATGTGTTATATGATCTAAATCAGTGTTTCTAAACTTGGGGGTCAGGACCCCTGCAGGGGGGTCACGAGGGGGTGTCAGAGGGGTCACCAAATACCATCAGAAAGCACAGTATTTTCTGTTGGTCATGGGGGTTCTGTGTGGAAAGTTTGGCCCAATTCTATTGGTGGGGTTCAGAATGCTCTTTGATTGTAGGTGAATTATAAATCCCAGCAACTACAACTCCCAAATGTCAAGTTTATTTTCCCCAAACCACCAGCTTTCAAATTTGGGCATATTGAGTATTCATGTCAAGTTTGGTCCAGATCCATAATTTTTTGAGTCCACAGTGCACTCGGGATGTAGGTGAACTACAACTCCAAAACTAAAGGTCAACACCCCACCAAAGCCTTCTAGTATTTTATGTGAGTCATGGGAGTTCTATGTGCCAAGTCCAATTGTTGGTGGAGTTCAGAATGCTCTTTGGTTGTAGGCGAACTATAAATCCCAGCAACTACAACTCCCAAATGACAAAATCAATCCCTCCCCCCAACCACACCACCAGTATTCAAATTTGGGCGTATCGGGTATTTGTGCCAAATTTGGTCCAGTGAATGAAAAATATCCTGCATATCAGATATTTACACTACAATTCAGAACAGTAGCAAACTTACAGTTATGAAGTAGCAACAAAAATAATTTTATGATTGGGGGTCACCACAACATGAAGAACTGTATTAAGGGGTTGTGGCATTAGGAAGGTTGAGAACCACTGATCTAAATCCTATTGTTTGCCTCAACTAGATAGAATCATTGAAACAGTAAGATTTATTCACATTTTACTCACAACTGGATTCAGTGGGTGTACTATAGTGGAGACTAATCAGCTGGATATAGGCCACCAGATTCCTTTATCTGGTGACAGATTGCAAGTTCCTAATTAATTGGGACTCAGCAGTGTGTCTTGTCTCCCCCCCCCCCCCACTAGGGATGTACATATCACCCTTAGTCTTTCCTATATGTGTCTTGGCTGGATATGTACTTTTGTCTGTTCCACCATCTGCCAGGCAGGCTCGCTCAGCCTCCCCCCACTGTCCATGCATCCTACGTGACAGTTTCTGTGTCTTGTAGGTGTTCTCACACATATAATTCAAAAGGCAGGCCTATAAGTTACATGTGGGGAGCTGAGCTGAGGTTATGTGCCACCAATTTACAACTACTGTTCCAATCCAAATTATAGTAACCTTGCTGACAATTGACAACCTCAATAAGAATGTATTTGTCTATTGAGCACCCAAATGTTGGCAGTACAGTAAAGTAATTAACTGTAAGAGGGGATGATCACAAGAGCACAAGAGGCAGTCAATTGTAAAGTAATAAAGGAGAGACAAAGAGAGGCTATAGTTCTTTAAAATAGGCATGCCTGAAAGAAAATGATGCAAAGGTTTATTATCAGAAAGAACATTAAAATTTGTTTTTACTGCATAGTTTCAACAGGAACCATAATTTGTCTCTTGCATTGTATCTTACAAAATTGGGGAATAACTCGTACTGGGTTGGTTGAGAAATTCAGTTGAGTTCAGCGGGACTCCAATCCATAGAAAAGTTGTAATATAAAGTTCTGATTTGAATAAATACATTTGTGCACATCAAGTGTGGCCAGCAAAAATATCTTAATTTTTACTGTAAAGGACAACAACAAGACAGAGATCAATCGGAGCAGTTTTGATCTCATCTGGCAGGCTAAGGAAAAGTGTCCCAGGAGACTGAAATGTCCTCTTTCTGGTTTTTGAATGTGACTATTTGTGATGTTATTATGTATTTTCCATAGGAAATTGCCTCTTTGCTCTTATGTATGTTGAATGCCTTGTGTTAATACTAGAATTGCAACTCCCAATACTTCCTGGATTTAATTTTCCCCTAATCTCACTTTCTATATTGACACTCTCAACTCAGAGTGACATGTCATGCATTTAACAAAGTGCGTTATAATCCAATATATTAATTTATCCATTTCTATAGTGCCAGAAAACTAGCCTGACAACCTCTTGGAAATTGTTAAACTCCATCAATAATATGGTATAATCACATCTTCAAACCACATGATGTATCAATGCTTCTGAGAAACATTCTTGTTGCTTCTCCTCTATATATTCCTTCTTTTCCCACAGGCAGTGATTTGCAGCTGCTTCGTCCCAATTTATGCTGGCTTCATTCCTCCCTCCTTCCGAGGTGTGGTGAGTTTGCATGAGCAAATAGCCAAGAAGCGTTTGGATGTTCTGTCTTTTAAGATCATTTTCAAATGTTCACAAGACAACAGGTTATAACAGAATGCTCCTTAGTTGCAACTTTGTCTTGTTAGGCTAAGAGATAAGTTAAACATAGAAGTTATATGGCAACTGAATGGTTGTGTGGTTTCCTATTCTTTCCTAAGTGCAAGGATCTGTTCTTCCCTTTCCAATGAAAGCATACACAATTGGATCAGTATCATTAAAAATTCAGTATCAAAATATCATTTTTTTAAATAGACAGTTATGTAGAGAAATATGTATCTCTATTCTCTAGTACACAGTGGATCCATGGCATTTGCTGGGTTGTGGTTCCAGGATCCCTTTCCCCCATGGATACCAAAGCCTATGGATTATTATTATTATTATTATTATTGCACCCTGCCTCCATCTCCCCGAAGGGACTCGGGGCGGCTTACATGGGTTCAAGCCCAATCAACACAGTTAAAAATCTCACACATTAAAATGCATAACAACATTTATGAAACAAAATAAATCAACAACATTATAACAATATGGAAACAGGCATCAAAACTGACAACCAATAACAAATTCAATTTGTCATCACGGGTGGGCGGACTAGTACAACAATAATTTAAAGCAGGGGTCCTCAAACTATGGCCCGGGGGCCGGATACGGCCCTCTAAGGTCATTTACCTGGCCCTCGCTCAGGGTCAACCTAAGTCTGAAACGACAACAACAATGCTATCTCATCAGCCAAAAGCAGGCCCACGCTTCCCATTGAAATATTAATAAGTTTATATTTGTTAAAATTGTTCTTCATTTTATTCTATTGTTTTTTGAACTACAAATAAGATATGTGCCGTGTTCATAGGAATTCATTCATGTTTTTTCAAATTATAATCTGGCCCTCCAACAGTTTGAGGGACTGTGACCTGGCCCCCTGTTTAAAATGTTTGAGGACCCCTGATTTAAAGGGTAGGCTAGTGAGTAAAGTGCATAGGTCATATGGCAGCAGTAAGGATAAGAGCAATAGTAAAGTGCGAGGACAAGATTTTGGGAGCTTGCTGGGGCTAGCTATCTAGGGAATTGTCTACTCAAAAGCACAGTGGAACATCCTGTTTCATATAATGGTGTAGTAAAATGGCAAGTCTTATATAAAGTGGCAAAATAAAGGTTTTGCTTTTTTTATTTTTTTTAAATCAAGCAATGGGTGATTGAGCCTATGGATGTAAAATCCATGGATATGAAGGGCTGACTTTATCTACAGCCTTGAGACTGTCTAGCTATAAAACAATATAAATGTCTAAAATATAAATTTGGGACAGAATGAAATAATTTGGAACAGAATTAAATGCAATAATACTAGTATTCGTAAATTTTACTCTTGTAATAGTTCTGCCTCATCTCTGCTTCACTTATCTTGAAATATATTGAAATATTCTTATTGCTTTCCTACAGCGATATGTTGATGGTGGCTTTACTAACTTGCAACCTCGTTCTGACCTGGAGACTGCCATTACAGTGTCTCCATTTACAGGAGAGATTGATATCTGTCCTCGAGATTGTCCAGCCATCTTCTACAGTTTGCATATTGTACATGGCAGCATTCAAGTCTCCATAGAGAACTTGTGCAGGATTGGCTATGCTCTCTTCCCACCCAGCTACCGGGTAAGTTTTTCCAATCATATGATTATCTATCAGTAATCATTGGGTTGGGTCAAAAAGTTTTGTTTGGGTAGAGCTTTAGGAAAATGAATTTTCTAGTGTATGGTTCTTAAGGTCCTGAATTAGTGTAGCAAATGACTAAATTGTTGCTTGATTAGTCACTCCCCTTTTCCTTTCTTAATTTTTAATAGACTCAAAATGAGCAAAATTAATGATGGCTGTATAAACATGGGTGAAAATATCAAAGACAGCAGCCAGAAGGAAAATGAAGGCCAGCAAGGATTTGGTGGAGAAAAAAGTGTTTATTTTGCACAATATGTGCAACTGAACAGTATGTGTCAAAATTGCCAGACTGATCTTGCAAAAGCCACATATTTTGATGCTCTCTATAAGCACATATAACATTCAATGAGATGTTTATAATTATTTTTCCTTGCCTTGTGATTATAATTTTTCAGATCCAGCAGCTGGTTGCACTGTATCTTTCTTTTTGAAACAGCACAGTGGTGTCCACTGGGATTTGGCCCCAGGACCCCCCATGGATACAAAAATATGTGGCATCCCAGTCCAATTATATACAATTGTATAGTAAAATGGTTTCCCTTATATAAAATGGCAACATCAAGTTTTTCTTTCTGGAATATATATTTTTGAATATTTTCCAACTGTGAATGCCTGAATTGGTGGATGCAGAATCAGTGGAAATGGAGGGCATGTTGATCCACAACAGATTTATTGACAGGCATCTTGGGGGTGGCAGGAAAATGAATATATGACATTCTTACAGTTGGGCATTGGCTTTCATAACTAACGGCATTATTTGCATTGGTTTATCTGCATTTTATTCTCCTGAATCTTCTTATGTAAATGAAATGTTTTAGTCTTCCCAGAAGAATATAGATCTATGAGTAACCCTTGGTTTTATAATCGGCTGCCAAAAACAAGGTGAAAGAATGCATGGAACTGACCTGCAGGGCAACTTTCCCATATGTATCTAACCAGGTGCTCGCTAGATAAGTCCAGGGCTATTTGTATTGGCTCCGTAATTATGAGAATTATAGTTCCACATGTTTCAAGGGTACCAGGTTCAAGTAGACACCCTATAGCATATTTTAAAGCTGAGGTATGGGATCAGCCAGCATGACCAGTGGCAAGGATGCTCCTACTGTTTGAACACCAACTACCAACTTCCCAATGGTCCAACCTAAGTAGCAGAGGGATACATTGATTTTAAAAGGGAAGAGGTTGGTTAGCAAATGTGATTGGTTTCATTTCTTGCAACCTTCACTGTTTGCCATTTCAAAAACCCATGTTTTAAAATTAGAAGTGAACCTCTGTACTCTGTTTGTTTTCAGTCAATTTGTTTGTTTTCAGTCAATTTGGCAGTCCATGCAGCTCCCAGAAAAAAATGACCCCTGGACACATTGCAGTTGTGCTCCGGAAACATGCCTTGCTCCATCTAGCTCGCTAATGGCTTTCCAGACCTTCAGGCTGAGTCTTTCCCAAATGTATCTAAAATTATCAAGAATGGACCTTACGTATCCAAAGCCTTTCCTCTGCCTTTGATCTATAACTCTCTTTCCTATCTTGCTTTTGGCTGCTGTTAAGTTAGCTATGGAATTACTAGCAGCTTTGGGAGGAGGAATGACGCAGATCAAGCAAAGGGTGCTAATGGAAAGTATTAAGCATCTCTCTTAGAGCTCTCCCTTATAAGAACATAAGAAGAGCTATGCTGGGTCAGACCCAAGGCCTGTCCAGAGGCCAACCAGATGCTTAAGGAAAGCCACAAGCAGGACATGAACACAATAGCTTCATATACTCAAACCAACACATGCGACTGTATTCTCCAGCAAATAATATATACAGGGTAGCTAGTTATGTTCATGACAGGCTCATAATCCAAATGGAATGGATGGAAGGGTCTCACCTGGACATTTTGTGGTGAGGTCTCCTCCTCTTGCTGAGACTACAGCAAGAGGAGATCATCATGTCTACTTAGAGGCATATATATCCATCATGACTGCAGTTCATCATGCAGATTATCTCAAGGATGGATAGCTAGACATGAGGCTAAAACTATAACTTTGCCTTTTTAAAGCAACTCACCAAGTTGATGACCATCACTGTGCTTCTAACCTTAAAAGCAGTCAGTACAGTGGAAAAGAAACAATAGGACATTCTAACCATAAATTGTCACACCTAGTTTGGCCTCTGCTTTTCTTCCGTTTCTGTGAAAGGAGTAGTTTGTGTTTATAGCATTAGTCATAACATAATAATGTGCTGCCATGTGCTGGGCCTGTAATAATTGATTTTTTTAAACAGGATATGCTCTTTGTGCCCAGCGGGGAGCCGGGGTGCCTCGYGTGAGAGGCCTTCAAGAATTTTCCCATACACAGTCTATAGAAGGCTTGAAATGTTTAACAAAGTCCTTTATTATTGCTTAGGTCTTCAATAAAACAACAAARGCTTCTTGGATCTTCAACAGATTAAACAAATGCTTCTTAACTTGCCCCAAAATGGACAGGCACCTTGCTTGGAGAACTATTTCTTTCTTTAACAAGGAAAACCCTTTTTAACGCCCCCCCCCCTCCCCGGCAATCTACTGTCTAAGCTTTGCTGATGTGGGTTCTACTACCGGTTCCAATCTGCATCTTGGGTCCTGAGTAGACCTACCAGTCAAGGCTATGTAGATTCTCCAGCAGGAGTTCTTTGGGTCTGTAAAACTGTTTTCTTCAAAAACTTTAGGACTGTTTCCCTCAGATGCTGTAAAGCTAAGAGGCTGTAAGCTCCCAGCCAGAGCTTTGGGACTGTTTTTCCCTGGAATTTCTGCCCTGGATGCTATAGGAAATGAAGCTTTTCTACAGATGGAGCTAATCAACGTCCTGTAGCTTAGCTTTCCACTATAAGCCTGAACTAAAAATGGCTCCCTCTCTTCCCATGGCCCTGGGGAAAGGGGTGGAACCAAAACTTAACAATGATAGACAGGTGGCTAGCCCTATGATTTTAAACCAAGCGAAGCCACCTTGTTGCAAATGCATGGAACCTTGGAATATATGCAAACACTCAATAGAAAGAAAATGAAGCTGAAGCTCCTAGTACAGCCGTACCAGCACAAATAATGATAACATTATCATAACATTACTGAACAACAGGTTTAGGACCCATTTTACATTGGCTATGCTGGAAGAGCAGTTCATCACACATCTTTTAAACATCTCATTTCAAGATGGCAGCAAGGAGTATCATACTGAAACGTATTTAATTTGCTTGTTGATATCAGTAATCAAAGTCTATGAATATGAAAAGGGAGAAAGGATAATGATACCAAGACTTGTAATTAAAAATGCAACTGTCTTGTAAGGTTTCTACAAGCTATGTAATTCATTCAATATTTTTCTTAGTTTGTGTGATTTGTTCAGTAATTGTTTTTGGTACCAATTTAACTGCGAGTTTCAACTACAGATGAATGATTGAATAAATGGAACTTACATACATTTCCCAGTTTTTATCTGAGGGCATGGACTTTGGTAATAGTGGGAAGGCAATAAGCTCTGCAGAGAACTAAACCCCTATCTTTCAATTATTGGCATTTTAATCAGTTGCTTAACCAGCTTTTGTGATTTCTGTAGACATTGTCTACCTGGTAATGCCAAACATGTCTTCAATGTCATGGTGCCTAAGAACTACACTTTGTTTACGAACATGAAACATGAAAAATAAGATTTAGAACTCTGTAGTATTAAATGCTTCGCTTTCCAATCCTGGCAAACATACACATTTTGTGAGGATACATTTTTAAGTTGAAGTGCTTAATTTTGTATTCAACACAGCCATACTCATAAATGATGTTTGCTCGTTATTATGATATGTGGGTCTCTCCACAGGTTTTGAATGAATTTTATTCACAAGGGTATCGAGATGCCATTTTCTTCTTGCACAGAAACAGTAAGTGTTGTCTAAACCATAAAGAAGAAAGTGTTATTCTTTAGATTATGGCTTCTTAAGCTATTTGATGTGGGGCATCCACATCTCCCAGTGTGCTAGTGATTGCTACCATATTTGTGCTTATTGGCTACAATTGTTTCTTTCCTGGAAATTCATCAAAGGCCCAAAAATAGAGGCTTGTGGACTAGCCTTGGTCCATGGACCAGCAATTTGAGCAACATCGCTTTACATTATACAAAAAGAGTTTAGAAAGCTTACTTTCTTAAATTACATCTTCTGTTATTATGCTAACTGGGGCAGGCCCGTAGCCAGGATTTCGATTCGGGGGGGGGGGGGGCTGAGTCCGAGTGAAAGAGGGTCTACCCTAGCAAACCTTTTGTATCGTTACCCCAATACCCCCATGCATATGGGATATATTGAGTATGGTGATCGGATCATGATATGAATAAATATAACAGTTTAAATAATGCACCAGTAAGGCCTTTTCGCGAACCACCATGAGAATTTCGGGGGGGGGGGGTTTGGGGGGCTTCAGCATGCCTGAACTGGGGGATTTGTGGAGTTGTCAAAAAAAAAAACATCCCTAAGCTCTGATATCTCTTCATAAAGCTCAAAAATGCACACATCCTATTGACAATGAGCTGGAAAAACTTTAGATTCATTGTTTTTCACATTTTAGAAGTGGTTTGTTTACAGACTCACACTGGAGTTGTTGGAGGTGTCATGTCACTTAAAAAATGTATGTCCTTCAAATGCCTTATGCAAGTGACTTGGCTTCTGTTACAGCACCTCTCTGAGTGAGTTCAAATCCAACAATTTAATATGCTTCAGTCTGAGCCAGATAGAGCATTGTCAGTTTCTAGGTGCAGAATATGATCAGATTCCAGCTTCCACCATCCTCTCATCTTTTGGTCTCTGAAAAGATCAGCAAAAGTTAATTCAGAACCTGACACATTGAAAACATGTAGATCTTTGTGTGGTTTGTAGTAGGTTGACAAGTAAATGTATGGCTTCTTTCTGTCACTTTTAACAGTTTGTGTTGTCCACTTAGACCAGTGGTTCTCAACCTGTGGGTCCTCAGATGTTTTGGCCTTCAACTCCCAGAAATCCTAACAGCTGGTAAACAGACTGGGATTTCTGGAAGTTGTAGGCCAAAACACCTGGGGACCCACAGGTTGAGAGCCACTGACTTAGAAAATGTTGGATTTTACCAATTGCTTTCACTTGATATATACTACTGATTGTTCTATAGGATGAACATGGACACCAAATTTTGTGGAACAAGGATTGTGGGAAGTACCTAAGCTAGTGTCTTTTCTGTGCCTAAAATTGTTTATGCTATTGTTTATGAATGTTTTTGATTTTTTTCTTTACAGACATTTTTGACAGTAGTTGTCTTGCCAAGACAGTGACATTTGAATTTGTAGGTGTGTTCAGCAAAAATGATTTGTTCCATGGTGGGGATGGGACTTCCTGCCAAAATCCAGGAACAGGAGTTCTCAACAAAGCTAATGGGACATCTTTAAAAAACTTCTTAAGGCATTCTGTAATCAGTAGGCTACACAAAATTATCACCAGAGTATTGCAACGCCTACCCCAACGCTGTCGAAAAGGTAAGGAGTTAAAATAGCATCCTGTCCATTTAACTGTCACGAATCACCTTTTCTGGAATGCCTGTGGAAGAAAATGTGCTGTGGGTATCAACAAGGAGACCTTCTAGAAAGACAACCTTCTAGGGATGCCTCGCGGGAATGGGTCTTGGAGGGACTGTTTTACAGTGGCTCCGCTCATTCCTTGAGGGCCGGTCTCAGAAGGTGTTACTGGGAGACTCCTGTTCAACCCCACAACCTTTGTCTTGTGGGGTTCCTCAGGGTTCAATACTGTCTCCCATGTTGTTTAACATCTACATGAAGCCGCTGGGTGAGATCATCCGGAGTTTCGGAGTGCGATGTCATCTGTACGCGGATGATGTCCAACTCTGTCACTCCTTTCCACCTGCTACTAAGGAGGCTGCGCCCACAAGATTTGTTGTTTTTTTTTTTCGGCTTGATCCATACATCACTCTGGTCCTCTCTGTGGTTTACGTTATGATTGCTTAAATGATGTTCAACTCTGTCACTCCTTTCCACCTGCTACTAAGAAGGCTGTCGAGGTCCTGAACCGGTGCCTGGCCGCTGTAACGGTCTGAATGAGGGCGAACAAATTGAAATTGAATCCAGACAAGACAGAGGTACTCCTGGTCAGTCGCAAGGACCGAACAGGGTATAGGGTTACAGCCTGTGCTGGATGGGGTCGCACTCCCCTTGAAGGCGCAGGTTCGCAGCTTGGGTGTGACCCTGGATTCATCTTTGAGCCTGGATCCCCAGGTTTCAGGGGTGACCAGGGGAGCATTTGCACAGCTTCGGCTCGTGCGCCAGCTGCGCCCGTATCTTGGGAAGTCTGACTTGGCCACGGTGGTACACGCTCTGGTCACATCCCGCCTTGACTACTGCAACGCTCTCTACGTGCGGCTGCCCTTGAAGACGGCCCGGAAGCTTCAGCTAGTCCAGCGCGCGGCAGCCATGTTACTAACGGGAGCGGGACGCAGGGAGCACACAACGCCCTTGCTGTCCCAGCTCCACTGGCTGCCGATCTGCTACCGGGCTCAATTCAAAGTGCTGGCGTTGGCCTTTAAAGCCCTAAACGGTTCTGGCCCAACTTATCTATCTGAACGTATCTCAGCCTATCAGCCCACCAGGACCCTAAGGTCTTCTGGGGAGTCCCTGCTCTCTATCCCGCCGGCTTCACACGTGCGGCTGGCGGGAACGAGAGACAGGGCCTTTTCTGTGGTGGCCCCTCGGCTTTGGAACACCCTCCCCATAGAGGTACGATCAGCCCCCTCGCTGATGGTTTTCCGGAAAGGACTAAAAACCTGGATGTTTGAGCAGGCGTTCGGTTAACTCAGTGCAATAAGTGTAATGATTGAAGGACTGGCAATTTGGACGACGAAACTGGATCGCGATTTTAGTCAAGAGATGAATTGGATTGTTTATTGATATATGTATTGTGGATCGTGTTTTTATGCTTTTAAACTGTATACTGTTGTTTGTTATAAGTTGTTGTAAACCGCGTTGAGTCGCCGGCTAGGCTGAGAAACGGCGGTATACAAGTATAGCAAATAAATAAATAAATAAATAAACCATGAATACAGTGGATGGTGAGCATCTTTCTTCCATGGATGAGAAGGCTCAGCTTACAGAAGACACTTCTGCTGAGTTTTTAGGGAATCCTGATCTGCATTCTTCACAGTATAGATTAGCATGTCCAGTAGGATTTTCAGAAGGCTTGAAGGAGAATGGTTTGGAAAAATCAACATCTGCCAATTTGTAAATATCTAGACTTTATTCCAACCCATCCATTATTTTTTAGATAGTATTTTATGGATAGATTATAGCTGGAGCAGTCACTGGCTGTTTTCATTCTTCGTGAGCAATCAGAGATGTAAGCTGCATGAGGACAATGGCAAAATGCAGTAGGAATTCTATGACGTGAATCTGCTAAAGTGCAGCTGAAAGTTTATTTAAACCATATTAAATGTGCCAGAAAACTATTGTTCATGCAATAAAATAACAGGCCACACCTCTAGAAAACTGCAGAAGGAAGTAATTTTTTTTTTATAAGAGCTGTCTTACATTTTCAAGACATTCTCTCAGTCTCAGATGAAGACAATGTTAAGAGTTCTCTGAATATATAGTTTTGGGGGCTTGAAAATTGCAAGAAACTGTGCATTCATGGGAAATGCACACAGAGGTGAGAATTCTAAAAAAACACTAAAAAGATTTTGACAAGAATGTTTCAAGCTTTATCTCCTCATCGTGTCTACATTTTTTCTCTTAGAAAAGTAATAAGAAATTAAATAAAACAATGAGTAGAACAACAAATAATGCAACAAATTTACATTTCCCCCTGCTGTTACAATTTATATGAGTGGATTACTTCTCAAACATTGTAACAATAACAAAAATTAGTTACTTGACAAAGAAAAGGCTGAGAAAGTGTGAATTTGTTTTTTGTTTTTTGTTTTTTATTGGTTACATAGCATTGTAATTGTAGAGTCACAAGTCATGTCTACTTTTTGATGTATACTGGTCACCATTGCCTTGGAAAGAAGTAGAATGGACCAAGAACAACCTCAAGAGTGCATTTGCAGTGTTAATTTAATGTAGTTTGACATCATTTTAAATTGCTATGGCTCAGTACTATGAAATCATGAGATTTCTAGATTGGCGAGGCACCACCATTCTTTGGCAGAGAATTCTAAAGACATTGTAAAAACACAGTTTCCATGATTCCATAGCATTGAACCATAATAGTTCAAGTGGTGTCATGCATCCCTTGTCATAAGTAGAGCTAAGACAGAGTTTTCAGAGATGTTGATTTCTGTAGGGTAGTAATAAAATATGGCTTACTGTTTGAAGATTACTGGTTTTAGTTGCCAGGCCCACCTGAAAATATGAGAATTTGGCACTTGGACTTATCAGATGTTTTCAAAGCTGTAGCTAGAGGAAAATTTTGTGATGATTATTTTTGGATGGGGTTGGGATGTGACTCTACAAGAAATGATTAATTTTATTATTATTTTCCCCACCCGGGATTCTGCTTGTAGCTTCTGCTGTCCTGAACTTGCAGAAAAAGTCTGGATTGTTAAGTTCAGTAGCTGGATTCATCCTGCATCATTTGACAAGTCCAACACGAGTTGCATTGTCTTGCTATAAAAGGTAAAAAAAAAAAATCCTATTTGAGATTCTTTGATGCAGTCTCTCATGGAACCACCTATGAGTTAAAAGTAGTATGTCTAGTTGTTGTTGTGTGCCTTCAAGTCATTTCTTACTTATGCCAGCCCTAAGGAGAACTTATAATGTGCAGAATTTGTTCAGATGGGCTTTGTCTTCATTTTCCTGTGAAGTCAACTTGCCCAAGGTTACCCAGTGGGTTTCCAGGCCATGAAGGGATTTGAATGTTGGTCCCAGCACCCAGACCACTACATCATGCTGGCCTGGTGCAGAAAGAAAATAACTGCTGCTCACTGTTTAAGAAAAACACCATAGGTCTACATAGGACATTTCCTTAAACTGAATTAGATTCTTGATGTATCAAAAAGCTAACAGTAGATAGACACTAAATAAGGAAGCTGCTAAATTTTTAACTATGGAAGCTAAATATTTTGTTTAGTATGCACTGTCAGAGTTACTGTAACCTGCACTTTCTCAGTATACATATGGATAAGAATACAGTGCTCTTATCCTTTGGATTGCACACTTCTCAAAATAATATGATGTATCAATATATTGTCGAAGGCTTTCATGGCCGGTAATATGATGTAGTTCTGATATTTTCTTTTTTAAATACAAAACTGTATGTACTATCGGCCCTTCACTTTCACAGAGGTTAGAGGCATGATAACATCTCTCCAGGAATATTCAGGTCCTCCAAGTCAGCTATCATTTGCTTTGCCATGCCACTGTTGTTTTTGTCTTTGACATTCACAGTCATACTCAGATCCTATCAATATACCATATGTGCATCAAACAGTAATTTCTTCTATGATTAGAAATGCGTTGCCATTTCTGTCTAACAAGAACTATGGCCTGTACCTCTTTGTTGTGATTTTTAAAGAAAACCCCTGCATCTAAGAAATGCCTTCTCTTTGACAAGCATGGCTTTTGTCTCGTAATGGTAGTATTCTTTAGAAATGATATATTGAAAGTAGATTGGAAATTTGAGCTGTCTAGTATGTAGGATTGCACGTAGGTCATTAGAGATATTCATGCATCTTTGGGGAGGCCAGTCACCAAGGAACCAGCTGGATGAAGTAGCAGAGAGAAAGTGTCCCCATCTACACTACCATATAATACAGTTTCAAATTATATCACAGTATAGATGGGGGTCATATTTAAATTCCTGTGCCAAAGTGTGCTTCTGCTTCTGGTGACTTTGCTACCTTAAATCATATAGGTGAAAGTGTGACCTTATATATAAGCTTTTTAAAGGTGAAATGAGATATATGTTTTTGTCCAGACTCAAAAGATTGCAAAATTTTATGTTTCATGATTGCTCTGACCCTATAATTTATTTTTTTCTCTCTTTTTTCTTTTAAAGATTAGAACATCTGCGGAAGTTTTGGCTTGGAGGACAATTGACAAGCCCCCCAAAATGATTCTTCATCAAATGCAACCAGGGCAAACTGTTAAGAAATCAATATTGTTTTAGTCTGAAACCTAAAAAGAATGGAAGAAACTGAAACTCCTGCAAAAAACATCCAGCCTTCCATCTCTGTGAATGAGAGATGAACTGCTTGTCAAAATTCTCCTTTCCTTTCCTTTCCTCAAATTATTAAAGTCCATAAATAGTGTCTGGCATCACAACTGTATGGCCACAAATGGCCTCAAAGTCAAAAGTCCAGAGAAATTTCTACCCTCATTACTGACATTAAATAATTCATTATCTAAAAAGTAAGTCTGAAGACAAACAGGAATATGCGTATCTGTTTCTACAGGCAACTGCTTCGAACATGTACATGGGAATACAAAGTCTGATGATACTGCCATTGCTTCAAAGACTAAATGGTGTTTTAAGTCACTATTGTCATGACTGGACAATTTATTTTCAAGTTGCAAATCTATGGTCTCCTGTTTACCAGGTACAGTTTTGGACTATGGATCAGTTCAGATCCATAGTCCAAATTATCAGTTCAGATCCAATTATCAGTTCAGATAATTTAGCAGGTGAGCAGGTAACAACTGGACAATTCCACAAGTGGGCGGAGACAATATAAGGAGGTTAGACTTCCATTAGAATTCAATAGAATTTCAGCCTATGAAATCACAATATGTGCTTTCTGTATACAAATGGTTAGTTAAACCTTTGAACTATTTCTTGTTTCAGAAATACTTGGAGAGTTGTCACAATCTGATTTTCTCTTTTATACAAAAAGTAATGAAGTGATAAATATCCCTTCCTCAGCAATTCCTCATCAAATAATAGTAGCTCTCTTACCATGATGTTCCACTGATAATTCTATCCACAAGGTTTACTCTGCTATCACGTGTGTATTTTGATTACTATTGTGTTAATATCTTATAAAATATACCATATATACATTTAATAGATACATTTGTGTCTTAAAGTTTATATCGGGCTACAATCCTGTGCTATTTGCTTTGGAGCAAGCCACATTAGATTCGGAGAAGCAGGCTTAACCGACTTACTTGTGGGACCAGCTTTTCACATTTCATTTAAATTGCTCCAACAGTGTAAATATTATTTCAAGATGCTCCACATTGAAACTAGTGCTATGTTTCTACCCATAAACTTTGCCCTATTTATAGATTATTATTTTTTTGGTGATACATTCTGATGTAACTTCTGGTTATTTCAACATAAGTACTTTGGGCATGTTGGATCCAGTACCTCTTTTCCCAACAACTTAATCCTGGATGTACAAAAGCAGACAGCAAATTTTCTGGTGCAGCTCTGTTCTCTTCTTTAGAAGCCATTGGAGGGGAATGCCTGGACACACACTATATTTTGAAGGGAAATCAAGGGCCCTTACACTGATTTTGGGAATGGCTATTTCTTCCCAAGTGTGCAAGGACACCTGGCCTGCATTCAAGTGACCTTTACAGCTGATCAGGAATTGGATCTATGAAACTATGCCAGGAAGCCACAGGCAGTCATCACTCCCTGACCAATCAGAAGTAAGTGGGGCTTTTTAAAATATAGCATGTACTTCTTACTTTAAAAATAACAAATGGCCAGAAGGCCAAGCACAAAAAAAACACTACTGTCTAACTAATCGTGTGATTTGTCTGCTTTGTGTGATAATCTTCCAATTGTGGAACCTGAGAAAAATATAGGTTAAATGGGCCATCAGTATAGGTAGAAAGGGACCTATGGGCTATCGAATCCAACTCACTGCTCAGTATAAGATTTCCAGCAAGAGCATCCCCAATGTGTTCTCATTTTCAGACATCTGACATCTCAACCATTCTCTAAGATGTCTCAAAAATAATGGAAGGTTGTTCAGTGTGTGTGTCAGCAAGTTCATTCAATACTTTGGAATACAGTTCACCTGTCCTGTAGAGTTGAACCAATTTAGATTAACTAGGTGATTCCTTACTAATTCTTTATCAACCTTGATTTGCAAACCTTTATGTGCCTCAACTGCAGGACAATATTCCAAACTACAGGAAAAGAGATTCCACCTAAACATTAAGATGGTAAGAGCTGTTTGACAGTGGGATATGATGCCTGGGTATGTGGTGGAATCTCCCCTGGAGGTTTTAAAGATGAGGCTGGATAGGCATCTGCTAGGAGTGATTTGATCATGTATTCCTGCATTGTAGGAGTTGGACTGGATTTTTTTGGGTCTCTTCCAACCCTATGATTTCTTTCCAAGTTGTCTGCTGATACATGTAAGCACACAGTATGTCTTTTGAGGAAAAATTAAAGCAAAATAGGTTTTGAATAGTAAGATTATTCTGGATGTTTCTGATTCACAAAGTCACCCCCGGGCATAGAAACAATACCATCAAAATATTGTAACAGATACCAACACCAATCCAAGTTTCCCAAAACAGTACATGTTGAAAAAGTTTGATTTCATTTCTGCACATATTCACAGGACTGAAACAGTTAATTTCGAGCATTTAAATAGCTGCTGGTGGTTTGAATCTTATCATCCAAATGTTACCACATAATAGAGAAACTCTCTTTTCTTTTGACTGTAGCTGAAGAGTGTACAGAAAGTCAACAGAGAGATCAGTATCAGTCAGCTTTCAAATTGTTAATGAAACCCTGTCCTCTCCATTATGAAGAATACATCTCGTCATAATGGTTTCTCTTGACTCCAAAGTTAAGGCAAAAGACTACAATCTTGAACAATGTGTCCTAGCGATCCACAAAGAGTTTTCCTACCGGTCATTTTCTCATATCTGAAGTACAAAATCCATGTGATGTCAATCCCATGGTAATAAAATAGCGTCAGTATTCAGATGTATACCTGCCCCTCATGAAGTAGTTTGAAATCATGTCCATTTTAAATAAAGCATAATCAAAATTTAGCCATAAAACATGATGTTGGTGATAGTAGTGATCATTTATTTATTTCCCACCTTCCTCCCTATGCAGGATTCATGGCAACCTACAGTATTGAAAAACACAGGTTACAATTAAAACATACTTTCTACATAAATTTTAAAAAGTATTAAATCACAGTTCAATTAAAAGCAGAAGATTAAAATAACATAAAACATATATCATAGTAAAAAGAATTTTTTTTAAAAAAATGCAACCAAAATACCACCTTCCTGTTACATACTAGTTTTTAAACCAAAGCCTGGTCTGAATAAGGTCTTAGTTGACCAGTGAAAGAAAAAGAAATAGGGAGGGGGAATGACACATGAAAAACTAAACCTTCTACAGCAGAAAAGTCCTCAGTCTTGGAGCAGCCACTGAGAAGGCTCTCTCCTGGATCCTCTGCAAATATTTCGGTTCTAAAAAAAGCCTTTCCTTGAAATTTCAGTCAGGCTTATACAGAGAGATACACTTTTTTCAGAGAGTGTGGACCCAAACTGTACAGACCAAGCTGTGAATCTGAGATTTCAATAGAAGTGTAATCCCATTCACTCTCTTTTGTCTGGAGCTGACTTCAGTTTGTTTTCCCTCATCTAGTCCCTTACTGACAACAGACACTGGTTTAGCACTTAAACATCTTCTTTAGAATTAGATGGAAAGAAAAGATAAATTTGGGTCTCATCAATATATTCAACTCCAAAACTCTGATGACCTCTCACAGCAGTTTCATATAGATGTTGAGCAGCATGGAGGACAAAATTGAACTCTTATGAACCCTACAGGCCAGAGGATAGAGTAGAAATCCAGCACTACCATACCTTCTGACTTTTTCAAGATTGGAGCCACTGGAGAACAGTGGCCTAAACTGACATTGCAGAAGGATACTGTGTTTGATGTTACTGAAAGGTCAAGTAGAACAAACAATGATACTCCCTTCCAGTTCCTTATGTAGATTATCTATCAAGGCAAGCAAAGCTGTCTCAGTTCTATAGTCAGGCCTATAGCCAAATTAAAATAGATCTAGAAAACCCATTACATCCAGGAATTTCAGGAACAGAGAAGTCCTCGCATGCTCTAGAACAGGCATGGGCAAATTTTGGTCCTCCAGGTGTTTTAGAAGTTGAAGTCCAAAATACCTGGAGGGCTGAAGTTTGCCCATGCCGGCTTTAGAACCTTGCCTCCAAATAATTAAATCTTTCTCAATGCTTTCTACAGCTCTTAGGAATCTTGGGGAAACCACAGCAGTTGAAATAGTGTAAACCCTATGTCACTTTTAGTACAAATAGAAATTATATAAAAATAAAATTTAAAAAAATCAAGTTAATTCATTTGAGAGCACATTCAATGTAAATGAGGTCTTACTTGGTTGTACAACAGTCGAATTCTACCAATAATAAGCAGAAAAATTAACAGGAATCTTATACTGTACCTTTTCTACTGGTGAAGTTGAGTTGCTACAATTGATTTTAGTTATGCTTTCCTTTATATCTGAAAATAATGGTACAATATCTGAAAATAATGGTACAATATTAGGATTATACTGACATTTCAAAAGGAGTTATATGATACTGACAGTAAAGACTGCCAGAATTCAGTATTTAGAATAAATGACTGAATCTTCAAATCACTTACCTTTGACACCTAGCTTCAATCCTAGCCAAATTATGTGCTATCCAATTATTTTGTGACCTCAAAGATGCTTAACAAATTTACACATGCTAATAATATGTTGCTTTTTTAAAGGTTTTAAGCTAAATGGACCATAACAAAGATAGTCATGATGCAAATCAGGATCTGATAATTTTTGTGTCTTGTTATCTATTCCATTTGATGGCAGACAGGCATGAATGAGCAAATCAGGCTAATAAAAGAGAGATCCTTTCAGTAGAGATGTGGTCCAATTCAAATGTCTGATTCCAGGACAAATGGATTATCGGATTTACTGGTATCTGGTAAAGTTGAATTTTCCCCACATTGTTTAACATATTTAACATTATTTAATTAATTTTAGATGCTAGTATTTCTTCCCATGGAGATGGAGTCAGGTGATCAGTACAATACAGAAAGAAGAGTTCTCCTGAGCAAGGAGAAAACTAAGAAAAGCTCTTCTGAATTACAGAGGGACCTTTGCTTTATCCCTGCTACATGGCAGTATTGTTCAGAACATACTTACTAGTCACAAGTAAGAAGGAGATGGCATTCTGATAGCCCAATGAATGGTATTGTTCCATCACCTATAGAACAGGAAAGACACAATGAAATCAACACTCATTATTCATGGGATAGTATTCTACTTGGATCCCTTTATGGATTTAGTCTCCATCAACATGTTGAAGGACCTTTCCACATATTGCTGGAATAACTGGGAACAGTAGATTGCCAGGAAAACTGGAAAGTTCCCATCCCATTCACAATTTTAGTTCCTCTGTTACATTACCAAAACTTGCATTGAAATACTTCATATCTAAAATGGCTCACCGTGATCGTTGGTGGAAGGCTCGAATGAAATGCCCTGGAAAAATTCTCCATGGAAAGAAGAGCGGTGGTGCCAAAGACATTTACTATGCTGAAAAAAGCTTGGCTATCTCTTGGACAAATATCAGTCTCTCCTGTAAAGGGGGATATTGAAACCACTCCTTCTACATCATGACAAGGTTGCATGTTTGTGAAGCCTCCATCCATATATCGCTAGCACAAAGGAAAAAAGAGGGTGATACACAAATAAATAAAGTGGGTGATAGTACAAACATCTTTCTGTTTTTAAGATTTGTTAATCCCTCCAGCTAGCCAGACAATGTCTATGGCAACAAGTGGTTTTCATTAGCTAAGGCTGCTGTAACCCCTCCTGGACAGATTGTTATCACTGGGAAAACCAGACTAAATTATTATAGTGCTTTCTATGCTGAATGGGAAATCTGTGCCTCTTCAGACATTTGTGATGATTGCATCTTCACACCTTCAACGTTTGATAAAAACAAAACTGACCTGTAATTCAATTCTCTAATCCAGCAGTTCTCAAAGTGTGCTCCGTGGAGCCCTTGGGGCTCCGTGAAACATACTGAGGGGCTCTGTGCATTCCTCCTCCCCTTCCAAACTTCCCCTCCTCTTTCCTGCTCCTCCCCTCCCCCGCCTCCCTCACCACCAAAAGTCTTTCCCCCCAAAAGCCTTTCTTTCCTTACCTCTCTGGCCACCAAAAGGCTATTTCCTTCCCACCACTCAGGGGGTGCTTTGATTGTGCTTTTCCTGTATGGCAGGAGTTGAACTGGATGGCCCCTGGGGTTTCTGCTATTATTATGATTCTTATGATTATAACTACTAATACTACAACGACTGGGCTGCCATCTGTTGGGGGGGAGGAGGAATGCTTTAATAGTGCTTTTCATGTACAGCAAAAGGGCGTTGGATTGGAAGCCCACTGGGGTCTTCCACTGGAGTACTGTCAAGTTTATTTTGATTAAAATTGTTCTTAATTTTAAATAGTGTATTGTTCTTTCTTTTTATTTTTTGCACTACAAATGAGATATGTGCTGTGTGCATAGGAATTTGTTCATGTTTTTTCAATTACTTCACACAAACATTCTCCATCCATCTACCACTTGCACAATCCATTTGTCAAATTTTCAAATACAATGTGTCAAAACGTTTGCCCATGCCTGATATATATATATATATATATAATATAACATATAAACATTTATTGGGACTTCACAAGAAACTTTTGCTTCAAAAAGGGTTCAATGGCTGAAAACATTTGAGAACCCCTGCTCTAATCAATGTGCACCAAAATTCCTTATTAGGGGAATCTGCACACAAACATGTATTTCGGGGTGCATCTACATTGTAGAATCAATGCAATTGGACACCATATTAACTGCCACGGTTCATTGCTTAGGTATAATGGGCATTGTAGTTTTACAAAATCTTTAATCTTCTCTGCCAAAGAATGTGGGTGCCTCACCAAACTACAGCTCCCATGATTCCATAGCACTGAACCATGGCGATTAAGTGGCGTCAAACTGCATTAATTCTACAGCGCAGTTGCATCCTTGATGGTGTACAACGATGTGTGATGTTATGAGAAACTACTTACAAAAAATATATTAAAATGTAAAAAAGGAAGGAATTTTCATAGCACTTAAAAATGCACATGCAGAAGCAACAAATAAGTTAGGACAGGAAAAATGGAAAATGGAGGGAAACCAAGATCTACAGAATTGTATCTCCTTGGATATCTAGCCAAAATCTCATTTTTCTGGTATTCTGAAACGGTACAGAAAAAAGCTCTGACCAGGTTACTGATATCCTATGGGAAACTGGGTCTCAAAATTGAAAGAACTGATAGCCAAAATGAAGGGGAAAAGAAAATACAAGGAACTAATTCAGACCATCTCCATGATACAATAGATAGGAGGGGGGGAGCCAAAATTGAATCACAACTGTTCCCAGAGGGAAGCAGGAGAGGGGGATGGGTGGGTGGGTGGGTGGGGGGGAGGAGATAGGTGTAATAGAAAACTAAGATGGAATTAGAAAGGAGTAAAAAATGAGTTATACCAGAAGAAGTGTATGTAATCTGTTTTCCTTGTATTGGCTGATTTTGTTTCTTTAATACTTTTTAAATATAATGGCAACAAGCCATACTCTACTTATACAAGCCAATAAAATATTTTTTTTAAAAAAGAAAAAGCTGACTCACCACACCACGGTAGGTGGGTGGGATCAAACCACCATACCCTGGAACAAAACAGCTGCACATGAGAGCCTGGGAAGAACAGAGGAAAAGAATGGTTACCTACCTGTAATTGTATTTCTTTGAGTGGTCATCTGTGAAATTCGCACTGATGGTACTTTCTGCACCAGCGCAGTGTGCTCTGGAATCTTCTAGCAAGCTCTAGAAGTCTTCCGGCTGCAGTCTGCCCACCCTCCCCAGGAGGCATATAACCAGTGGGAGGAGCTGGAGCCTTAGTTTCTGTGCCACTGAGCAGCAGCAACAGAAACCAGGCATGACATAAAGCAGGGAGGATGGGCAGGGATGTGCGAATTTCACAGACGTTCACCCAAAGAAACATTGTTACATCCAACCTAATAAACTTTGTATGGTTACTTTGTCCACCATCCTTCCCTTATTAAGATGGGACTACTGGCTTGTATGTATTGATTTAAAAGATGCTTATTTTCACATTGTTCATGGTGGCATAAGAACCTGTACAATCTCTCCCTGAATCAACAGCTCAAACATCTTGAGAGCTTTCCAAATGCTATGCCAGGACCTCTGGCGGCTGCCCCAGCTGGAGTGTGCAAAAATACTGCTCAGACAGTGGGGAGGTGGGGATGTTGGAGGGAGGGAACGTGATGGCACCTGAGTCTTCAAGTGGTGGCAGCTGATACTGCTCAGAGTTCTCACCAACAGCAAAGACATTGGGAAGAAAAGCTGCTGTTGTGCCAAAGAGCGACATGGCGACAGCTGTGGTGAAGAAGCAGGCTGTACACCATCTTTCTTCTCCCTTGAGGTTGTCTTTCTCTCTCCTTTGTTTTTCCAGGGGCTAGAAGCCCATAAGGGTTTCATTTTTTTTGGTAGAGGAACTGGCTGACAAAGTGGTCAATGTTAAAGTTAATTTTGTGTGCCCCAAAGCCAGAGGCTCAAACACCTGGTGTTTATTTGAGGGAGTGGGGGAAGGCAGTGGTTTGTCAATATGTTTGTGAGTTTGAGAGGACAGAAGTCTCCTCTTCAAAACAAAAAACATGTATCTTGCCTACCTTCCTCCTAAAACTTTTCCCTGCAGGAGGAACAAAGTTTAGCCATGGGAGTACCCATTAGGGATAGTCAAAGAGTCCACATCAGTAGAAGGAGGGAGAAGACAAACAGCTGTCAAACAAGTCCAAGTCAAAACACCAGAGAGATATAGTCAAACTCAGTCCAGTTCAATAGTCAGAAAAACACAACATAGTTATAAAAAAAAAGTCCAAAGTCAACAAGTCAGAACACAGACCATAGTAAAAAAAAAAAAAAAACTAGTCCAAAGTCAACAAGCCAAAAGACATACATGTAGTCAAAACCAATCCGAGATCAATTTGGGTATGAGAAAAAAAAAACCCCACAGGGCAATCTTATGGTTTGAAGAGAAAATTAAGCTACTGAGATAACCGATGCTGTGGTGCGATCAGCGGATCACAGGAACTAGGCTTCAAGCTTCTCTTGCTGTTTATATGCCTCCTGGGAAGGGTGGGTGGGACTACAGCCAAAAGACTTCTAGAGCTTGCTAGAAAATTCTGGAGCATGCTGCGCAGGTGCAGGAAGTACCATCAGTGCGATTTTCAGAGACCACAAAGAAGAAATCTAAACAAGTTACATAAAACAGTTTTGAGAAGTATATTATTTCATTATTCAGAAGCTTTCTACAGTCTAAAGCAGGGATTCCCAAAACTATTTGGCCTACCTCCCCCTTTTCAGAAAAAATTAGCACACTCCTGAAAATCTACATTCTTTAAGTGAAGAAAAAGAAAGTGGCAGGGACAAATTTGCATTTTATGTATTTATGAACCTCATCCCAAAAAGTGGGGAGGCAGGAAAAATAGTCTTTTTAGCATGGTGTTCCATGGCATACTGTTTTCAATAGAACTGGAGAATTTAACAGCATTTCCCACTCCACCTTAAATCCCAACATTTTCCATTCCACCTTAAGACACCGGGTTCTGGCAGTTTCTATGTGCAAGGAGAGTAGTGAAGTCAATTCCTCCCTGACTTTACAATCCTCCCATCTCTATATACTTTAAAGATGGTGTGCCATGGGCAACCTACAGAAAGACTCTTGAATTGTTTGATGGAATCTGTGGGACTCTGACTTTAAAGTGTGTTCATCTCTATTTTGTCAGTAGCATGAATTTAAACTTTTAAATACTTATTGCACTTGCGCTAATATTAACTACTTGTCACACAATTCAGAAACAATCTAAATTTGATTTCATACATGTCACCCATTTATAGTATCATATTGTAAACAAATCATGATATGCACTTATTCCTGCCAATGTATGCTGGAGTTCCTGACAATGCATAACATGTTCATCTGTCCACACTTGCTCAGCTGACTTGACCACTTATCAATTATGACTTATATTTTGGAAAATAACCTAATTGCTATGACTCAGGACCTTATCTGATAATCCTGCACCCCAATTTTAAAACAGTTCTAATCCACTGAGGCAATGAAAAGAGACAGAGCTCTTGCCATGACACAGGAGGACTTCCTGTCTGCATCCATCATGATTAATTGTGCAAGCATTAGAAACAGTCCCCAAAAAGGGAGAGAGGAGAAGATGGTCTGAGATCATCTTCTGTACTCAGGAACCGGAATATTGTATTTCAAAACTACAAAAACACATTGGACATGAGCTATCAGAATCACTCTCATTGAATTGAATTGATGACATGGGCAAATAAACTGTCTTGTAGGCAGCCTCCTAACCAGAAGTGACTTCCCGGTACTCTAGTAAAATGCAGTAGCTTAATCCTTTTTGGTAATTAAAAAAACAAAACAAATAGATATAGTTAATTTAGTAGATTCTTATTTTTCTTTGCCTTTAATAGTGAGGTTTTCTGCTTTTTCTATTCTTCAAAAATGCAAATCTTGATACTGTGAGTGTTTGATCCCTTGCAATGTTGAAACAATACCTTTTTTTTTAAAAAAAGGGAGAGGGCGGAGAATCCATTTGCATATGGAATAAGAATGAAAACAGTAACAGAGAAACCAGAAAATTCAGATGACATGGAATAAGTAACATGGTGATTTGCAACACTATAGTACTAAATGCCAGGATTACATGACGCTACTACATGGGATAAGGTTCTATGTTAAATGAAGCATGTGTGAACAGATTTTCAAAATTGTCTTTTTCTTTATGTTTCTACTGCCCCCTACTGCAGTATTGCCCACTTTGGGAAGCACTGGGCTAAAGGGTTAAACTCAACAGAACATTTCCAATTTGAGCACATCTCTTATGCTTTTCAGTTGAAAATATTTTTATCCTCAATCTGGAATACAAATATTGCATTACAAATGCTTACTACAAGAATGAATGTTGATGCTTCCTGACTTATATCACCAGAATTCATGCATTAATATCCACAATGCCTTTGGCATAACTGAACTGGAAGAACAATGATTTCCTTGGAAGAATCAATCACATTTTACCTCAATTAGATCTTCCTTTGACTTGTACTCTGAAACCATGATATTTTGCAAGTTTGACACACGTGTTAGGGAAAGGTAGAGTTTCCCTGAAGCCTTCTGGTGAGAATTCTCTGACAGATTTTTAATCAACCCATCCTTTAATGTCCGGAATACCCCTACAGATGGTGAAAAAGGACCCCAAAACGACCTTCTGCTATCTTCCACAGCTTTGAAGAGATACTCTTGAAAAGCATCTAAGGAGGGTGGGAACAAAAAGTTAACTCAGGACTTTATCCTATGAGGCTTGCAACATGTGTTGGAGGTTTCCAAATGAAAAGAAACTTACCATTGCATGACATTGTCCCAAACCCACTACAAACCAATCTTCAACTCACACAGAAACATAAGTTTTAGAAAACAGGGGAACACATTTTAGGGCTGCTGAACACGTGTTTAATAAGTCTTCTAAGTGTTTTCAGCTGTGTAATAATCTCAAAGTTGTGATGTAATATATATACTTTTGTTATGAAAGAAAAAAGGATTAAGTACAAAGCTCTGTATAGGATTACTGCACACCTGAATAACACATAAGTATGAAGATGCATGTTGTTGTGTGCATGTGTGCCTTAAACCCAGTCCACCCACACACCCAAAATACTAATCTGTAAATGTGCTGGGCAATAATATCCAGTAACAATTTTTCTGTCTATAAAGAACAGGGAATTCAAGAATCTCCAGGGTTGCATGCAGCCTGGAGCTATTGATGTGCCCTGCTACATCCTGAATCTCTCCCAAAATCTTGGGCTTTTAAAAGCGCAGTTAAAGCTTAACATGATTTTAATGCAAAAACACCTCTGGAGGGCATGAGATTTGTGTTTTAATCACTGTTTTTGCTCCTGCCCCCTTTACTCCAAGCATCACGGGGGGGCCTTCCATGCAACCCGTGAATATCAAGGTAGAAAATCCCACAATATCTGCTTTGAACTCAGTTATCTGAGTCCACACTGCCATATATTCCAGTTCAAAGCAGATAATGTGGGATTTTATTCAGCCGTGTGGAAAGGGCCTCAGACAACAAAAACTGTGAGCAGAAGTGAGAGGGAGATCACTTCCAGATTTGGGAACTTGGCTGATTTCCACCCAGGTGAGATTAGAAGGATCTCAAATGGTCCTTCAACTCTCCTCGTGTGCCAATTCCTGTCCTTCAGAATAAACCAAAGCTTTCAAAGTCTTACCTAAATCACCATCACAGATTATTACTGCTGCAACAAGTGCTCCACCAGAAGAACCATAAACCCTGGACAGTGAGTTTATCATTTCAGGTGCCAGTTCCTTCAGTGCCCGGACCACCCCTAACTGATAATACATCAGGAAGCCACTAGCTGCAAAAGACAGAGCATGAGGCCTTTTGAGGTTCTGAGCTACCATTCTTCCCAATGCAGATGGCAGAAGCTAACAAGTACTGTACAGAAAGCCAACTGGTGAGCAGTGTGCTTTTTAGAAAGACCTTCAGAATGAATAGAGAGAAAGGCATGCAGATTTTAGACTGGCTGTACAAAGAGAGATAATTAGTGGATACCACTTGTACATAGCAGGCCCAAATCATAAGACTTGTGTTCATGTCCATTCCAGTAATTGAATTTGGGATGGTCATTAGCTGAAGTTCTGAAAATGAATTGTAGCATTATACGTATCACACAAACATTAAGAGCAGATAAACATTCTTTACACTTTGCATAGGCAGGACAAGGGAGTCATACTTCACTTGCTGACTACACAACAATATCATGAATTGGCTATAGAGATGACAGGTGATTTCATAGACATTCGGTTAGCAGCAAAGTGACAACTAAAATTAACACAGAAGGGTGCATTTATGGAAACAGTGATTCAACACGCATTTGTCTGATATTTTTTGGTCTAATGCCCTTTTAATTTGTTTTAAAGCTGGCTGTTCTTCTAATATGAAGGTCCATAGTAGGTAGCATCTTTTTAGTGACAAACATGTGCAGATGTTTCTTCTTGACAAGGACAAGGTACTATTCTCTATCTCTTTGTGGACTGTTCAAAATCACCCCGTGACAGTGATCAAGTTGCTTCTCCGTGGGAAGGAGCTGGAGAGAAGAACCAATTCAGGCAATGAAATGCAGGCTTTCTAAGCTCTGAAAGGAAGGAAAATTGTGTGGAGTAAGGAGGAACAATGGCTTCTCCCAGGTTTTGGCAGCTGCTGGAAGGGACACAGAATTGTGCAGGTGCAATGTGTATCATTTTGTTTGCTATATGAAAGATCTCAATGATTTTATTTTTAGTTACAAAGTCTTGTTTAATCATGTTGTGCCACAATGTAAGTTCCAGTTGTGAAACAAAAGCAGATTGCGAGTTAAATACAGAAACAAATTTACATGCACATAAATTGCTTTTCAAGCACATCTGCATGTGAAATGTGCCAAACTTTTATAAAATACACGGGATATGTGTATCCATTTCCCACAAGTCATTCTTATTCAATCAATGCATACTTTCTAAGGAGTGCACGGGCTAGAAATCACACATTTTGATCTATAAATTTTGCTGAAGATCTTCAACCTCTGTTAATGTGGTTACATAAATGACAGAGATTATGGTGGTGTTGATAATAGTGACATTAGGAAAAAGACAATGATGACATCCATGGGAAGGGAAAGAAGAAAAAAGTTGGTGGAGGAAACAGAAAAAGAACTCTGCCTTTCTAAGCAGCCCATTACTCAAATGCCCAGCTTTGGGGTAGGCGAGACTCCATAAAGCCAAAAGGTGTTCTGGTGTGTCCCGCAGTGGGGTGCGGAGTTGTTACAAAGATAAGAAGGGAAAACCAAACTCAACAACAACAAAGCATATACAAGCATAAGGTGAAATTACTCTTGCATATGTGACCAACAACATTCCCACACAGGAATACCAAGTTGGTTGGATTACTGTTTAAAAGAAAACAATCTAACATTAAATGCTTCTGTCACAACTCTTCATCTTGTAGCTAAGCATTAATTGTTCATTAGAAGGATCTAAAAGAATTCCCAGAAAGATCCATGTAATTGTGCTGAGTAGTATTAATTAATGGTCATCAGTACATCATGTAGCACTTATCCGTGCCCCATGATCCACAAACATTTGTTACCCTTGTTGTCACTTCCAAATATTAATCACGTTAATATGTCATTCCAATTAACAAGTGGCTGGACCAGTACAGAATTTTTTTGGTTGTTAATCTATTTCAGTTAAGACATATAAACTAGGATACAAAAGAAATGCATGAAGTCATTTAGGACCTCATCACATGTAGAAATTTCCTCATTTACAAGGTTACTTCCAGGGCTCACCCACTGGACCCCATTTTTACATTTCATAATAACGTGGGGTATTCAGAGTCAAGTATCTATCAGCTCCACTTATTTCTATGCACGTGGAAGCAGCAAAATGCTTGAACTTTCATGTGTGATAGGAACTGATGGAGCCTTCTGAGTAATACCATTCTATGAAGTATATTTGTGGGCAGACTTTACACTTTCCCTCAATTTCTCTCATGCTGCCATTATTCCATGAGGACTAACCCTTTGAAAGTAAGTTTTTAAAAATGATTTTTCAAAGGACATTCTGAAATTACTCCATGTTTATTACTCAATGCATTGACATTATACTCTTTCCTTTTGAAGTATTTCTCCATTTGAAATAATTTTGAAGTAATTTTTAGTTGATTTTGAAGTTATTTGCAAGGAAAATAACATGAGTGAATGGTTCAATAGAGATGCACCCATTTCATTAGGAAAACAGCCGTTTTAGGGAAATGTTTCAGTAGGGAAATATCTGTAACAGCAGTTCCTTAAAAACTGTGAGGTTTCATACTTCTGGTTTTGCACAGTGAGTCTTTTTTTAAGAAAAAGAAAAGATAGCAAGAAAGCAAGATGGGCAGGGATTCCACTTCTCCATGTGATGGGAAATGAAGCAGGGGATTGTAGATGAGATTGACACATGTGATGGGGGAGACTGCATTCTCAGTTTTATTAAAACATGGCTACCACTGAATACAAATAATTCCATTAGCAGCTTTGACCTTTGCTGGTTTGATTATTCATATATTTAATTAAAATCTTTTCTTTAGGGATCTCTATGTCCTCCAGTGTGGCTCTATGTTCAACTTCCTTCATTCACACTGGAGGACCTTGGGATTTTTTWWTTAAAAAAATKCTTTCTAGGAATCTCTAGATCGTTCAGTGTAATTCTATGGTCAGTGTGCRGTCACACCCAGACACTATAAAGTTAAAACTAAGATGTGCTTCTCTCTTTATCTGGGTGAACCYCAGGTGCCTTTCTTAGTAGCTCAAGATTCCTAGCAACTGAGGCTAGTCCAGATTTGAACATCAACAGAACATTTATTTTTCAAAGTCCTTGACAGACTTGGCACAGCTTGATGAAGTTATAAACASAAACAGTCAATTTAGGAAACCATATAGATGTTCTTTCTTTCCTTTTTCCTTCAGTTACCGAGTTAACTTTTCCCCAACAGTAGAAAAATCCTGGGATCCTTTACCCTAACCCTGAGCTGTTACCTTTCAGAAAGAGCAGGTCTTCCCCTATCTAAGCTCAAGATTAGTTTTGGAGACGAAGTAATGGAGCCTCTGCCAATGGCAGAGAAATCCTGAGATATTCCCTGCCCCAGCACTGAGCTACTGTCCTTTAGAAAGAGCAGGTCTTTCTCTATCTGAGCTCAGCCCCAGTTTCAAAGGCGAGAGGGTAACCGTACTCACAATGGCTTGTCCGAGCTGCCTGGCTTGGCCACCAGCACATCTGAGGCTTTTTCTATACTAAAGAAGGCAAGAGAGCTTCCCCAAAATGGAGATCTCATCTCCAGGAAAACGGGCGGTCTCTAGACCAAAAGGATACTTTAAAAAAAAAACCAATAACAGCAAGAGGCTTGCAGGCTGGCTTCCAGCCTCTGTTAATGTTTAACTTTCAGGGTGCTGATGAGACTGTAGCAACCCTGAGGGAAAATGCAAAGGGATACTATTTTATGCAGCTAAGGGACAATGCAAACCAAGCTCCTGGAAGACGGAACAGTCAGTATCCAGTGGAAGCCAACCATAGAGTCATGCTGGAAGACCTAAAAAATCCTAAAGCTTTTTTACACAGGTTTTAAAAAGTAGAATTTCTTTATTTTCAGTTTTTCACTTTCAGGGGTGTTGTATGCTCCTTACTCCAACAATTGTGAAGGTCTGACTGTATGCTTAATGGGTACAAAACATACATTTGGCTGAGAAAACTGGTCACCTTTTCCGCCCTTCCCAGAACCCAAATATTGCCTATGATAATACTTCATGCAATGTAACATCATAAAATTATCTATATGGTTTAAAATGTATGTAAAGCTAGAAATTAGGAAGGGTGGCTGTGATTCCATTAAACTACACAACTGTGATGCTCTGATGCCGTTTCGAAGAACAGTTTGCCATGGAAACAGAAAGCTGCTTGTAACATTTTTATAGATTTCTTCAGCTGCCGCCTGTCTCCAGAGAAAAATACAAGGTGGTTCTGGGTTTCTCATAAAGTTAATGGCTCCAGTTTAAGTAGTTCAATGTTCTTCCAGACACAGGTAAAAATATGTATGAAGGAATCTGAGTTGTTTATTGTACTAGCCATAGGCCATGACATCAAATAATATACAGCTTTTAAAAGTACAGTATACACTTTCCAATATAAACATTAAAACTTATTCTCTAAACCAGCTTTTTCAAATTACAGTAGCAGTGACAATCCCTGTAGGCATGATAAAAATAACAAAATCTGATTTGTAGTCAATTTCTAGCCTCCACTGTGAACTTTACAAATTTAGCTCAGATTTTTTGGGCTGCAACTGCAAATGTGGAACCTTTTAATGTTATATTTTAGGAAGAATCTGCTAACAGGTCACAGATAACTGCTGACTGTTTCCATGCTGCCCTTTCCTCCAGAAGGGATCCCAGGAGATTGTTTCTGCGGTTATTATACAATGGGCAAAGTAACAGTGTATTAAATTTTATCTTTCTCCCGATCCACAAATGCAAACTCTTTGAGCATGCGGAATCCCTCTATATTTCCTCTCTAGCCAGCCTGATGGCATTGTTTGGAAGCGCAGGGCTGTAAATGCTTTCATGAGGACTAAGATGTTAAGTCTTGAAGATTTATTTATTTATTTATTTATTTTACGACATTTATATGCTGTCCTTCTCGCCCCGAAGGGGACTCAGAGTGGCTTACAAGATACATATACATACAATATATTATATTATTAGCATAGTACAATATCAGTATTATATATTACTATTTTGTACTATACCATTATAATGTAATATTATTAGTAATATAATAATATGGGGGTTGTCCGAAAAGGGATTGAAAACAGAAAG